TTTAAAAAAACAACATATTTTTAAAAAATAAAATAAAAAAGATACTGAATCAGTGAAGCAAGAATACAATGCTATTAAAATGCATAACCAGAATACAAGGAAGAATTCTTGAGGTTTAAACACTCACTAAATTCATTTGAAGAAGGCTCCCAAAACTGAAGAAAAGAAAGAGAAAGACAATGGGAGAGAAAAGATTAGAAAATTCGAGGATCACTCTAGGAGGCCTAACATCTGACTATCTATAGTTCAGAAATAGCAAAGATATAGGAAATAATTTTTAAAATCATAGTAGAAAATGTCTCAGAACCAGAGGACGTGAATCTCCAGATTTGGACTGTCGAGAGAGTCTCGTACAAAGACTGGGCATCAGAAGCCACCACAGCGGCTGTGTCGGAAACTAGAAGAACATTCAGGTTCAAACCAAGATGAAATCGACAAAACCACAGCAGCAATGTTGACAAACCTCTCTCAGTTTTGGATAGATGAGGTGGACAAAAATTTTAAAGATCGTAGGTTAGAGTAATATGATTCACTCAATTTAATAATTAAACGTAGTTTGTATTCTGTAGATACGAAACACATGCATACTTTTTAGTTGTTTCAGGACATTAAAAAAATGGATCATGGACCAGGAATTGAAGAAAATATCAACAATCTCCAAAGTTGTAGTCGTGTGGATAGATGCTTTTGCTATCCCAGGCATTTGCTAATCTCGGGAATTGAGGGGTGGATTTCAACAGCCATGGGGACGGGAGACAGTCTTGAGCCCACAAGATCCAGGGATTTGAAACCGAGACCCTTGGAGGACTCCTGAGGACTAGACTCTCCGTGCAAGACTCAACTAGGAAAAAGGCCCGGGGGGCAGAGGGAGATCACAGGGAGGCTTGTCTGCGTGGCTTGTGCTATGAGTGACGGTGAAGAGCCTCCCCTAGAAATTCTTGGCCACAAACCTGTTCTTATGTGGATTTGGGGTACACATTTATGCTGTCTGCATGCTCTGGGAATTTATGAGCCAAAAATTTAACTTGAAATATAGTCCTGGACTGATAATGTCATTGAGGCACTTGGTAAGAGCAAATATAGAATTTCCCTACAAGGGCAAGTTTTCCACCCAGGTTTCCCACAGATGAAGACCCCAACAACAAGACAAGTGGTAACAAGTGCTGGAGAGGTTGTGGAGAAAAGGAAACCCTCACTCACTGCTGGTGGGAATGCAGACTGGTACAGCCACTGTGGAAAATAGTCCGGCGGTTCCTCAAAAAAGAATAGAGCTACCATGTGACCCAGCAATCCCTCTCCTGGGCATATATCCCAAAAAGACTAAAAAAATATACCCACAAAGATATGTGCACCCCGATGTTCACTGCAGCATTATTCACAGTGGCCAAGACACGGGACAGCCGAAGCGTCCTGCGGTAGCGGACCGGATACAGAGGATGTAGTACATCCACACAGTGCAGTACTGCTCAGTAAGACAACACGAAATACTGCCATTGCGACAAGATGGATGGACTTTGAGAGTGTTATGCTGAGTGAAATCAGTCTGTCAGAAAAAGCCAAGAGCCATATGATTTCACGCATACGTGGGATATAGACTGAAACTCGTGGACAAAGCAGCAGTGTGGTGTTGCCAGAAGGAAGTGGGTGGGGGAAAGTCGGGGGCGAAAGGGGCCTGACATATGGTGACGGAAGATGGTTTGGCTTTGGGCGGTGGGCACACAGTGCAACATACAGATCTGGTGTCATAGAAATCTACACCTGAGATCTAGATGATCCTATCACCCTAGTAAATTTAATTTTCAGAAATCCAGCCTGGCCACTGTGGCTCAGTGGTTGAGCGTTGACCCATGCACCAAGAGATCACCAGTTCGATTCCCGGCCAGGACACATGCCCAGGTTGTGGGCCAAATCCTCAGTGGGGGCCTGCAGGAGGCAGCCAATTGATATTCTCTCTCATTGATGTTTCTATCTCTCTCTCCCTCTCCCTTCTTCTCTCTCTAAAATCAATAAAGAAAAATATTTTTTAAAAATCCAATAAATGAGGAAACATACCAGGAATTAAGCTATCAGACCCAATAAACATAAGGTTTATACTTCCAATAATAATAGATGATATAATTACATAAAAATGTTTCAAATGACCAAAAAAATATGAGAGGAAATAAAAACCATAAGAAATAAATAACACTATTAAGGAAACAAGCTTGTCATTTCCAGTGATTCTAAAACATCCCTCCCCCCATATTTTACATCTCTAAAATTAGAAATTATTTTGAAACCTATGTAATAAAAAAGCATTGTTCATAGTTTAGGAAGTATTGTTTCTTTCTTAGTGGTATGTAAAATTATATGTCTATAATTTGATAAAATATGGTATTTGAAAAAGAATCAGACATATATAATGTATAATCATGTTAGAGGCAGAAATCATCAAAGGAAAACAATCTGTAGATTTTGAAACCTCAAAATATAAATACATTTTTAAAAGATTGATAAACAACATTTAAAGAAAAACCGAGAAAAGTATTTCTAAAGTATATGACAAACGAGGGGTTAGTGTTCTTATATTTTAAAGTGGGGACACCACAGTATTAATATAGGATGAGAATATGCAGTGAATAAACAAATGAAGATGTACAAGTTATCAATAAATATAAGAAATCTTCAATTTCATCAATTAGTAATAAAAAATACAAATTGAAATAATAAAAAATTTAACAATCAAATTTGCAAAGATGAAAAACATAGCATGTCAATTGTGCAGCAAAATTAGCACTCCAACATTATGGTGAGAGTGGAATTTGGTGTAGACTTCTGGAGGGCAATTTGGCAAAATATATCAAAAGTCCTAAAATATGGATGCCATTTGAGAGTGATATAACTTCTAGGCATTTTCAAAAATGGTATTGCCATAATTTTCAGTATAAAATGTTCCTCACAGTATTGTTTGCAATAATGAAAAATGAGAACTTACTGGAATATATAAGAAATTAATTAAATAATTACACGGGCATATGTAGCCATCATGTAATAAATATTTAATAAAATATATTTAATGACAAAATATATTTAATGACATAAACAACATACCACCAAGCCATATTCACAATGCTTTTATATATGTGTGTGTATACATATATATGTATATGTATATATATGTATGTGTGTGTGTGTGTATATATATATATATATATATATATATATATTTATCCTCACCCGAGGACATTTTTTCATTTTTTGTTCAGATAGAGTGGCAGGGAGAGAGAGAGAGAGAGAGAAACATCGACGTGAAAGGGACACATCAAGTGGCTGCCTCCCGCACGACCCAACCAGGGCCAGGGACAAACTGCAACCGAGGTACACGCCCTTAGCGGGAACTGAACCCAGGTCTCTCTGGACTGCAGCCCAACACTCTAACCGCTGAGCCAAACCAGCCAGGGCTATTATATTTTTTACTAAAAACATTGAGTTACAGACCAGTATGTAGGTAGCGACCTATTATGTAAAAATATATACAAAAACAGACTAAATATATATACTTCAAAATATTAAGTCATCCTCTCTGGGTGATAGGACTACCAGGAAATTTACTTCTTGCCTTGTTGTATTTCCTAAAATAAATAACTAAACTTTTGTTTATAGAGTAAATGTTCTTTTAAAAGGGAGGATAAAGATGTCCTGGCCCTTGTGACTCAGTGGACAGATACACTGAAGGGTCTCGGATTCGATTTCCAGTCAAGGGCACAAAACTGGGTTGCAGGTTGGATCCCTGGCCCCTGTTGGGGTGCGTGCAGGAGGCAACCAATTGATGTGTCTCTCTAACATTGATGTTTCTCTCTCTCTCTCTCTCTCTCTCTCTCTCTCTCTCTCTCCCTCCTTTCCAGTCTCTCTAAAAATCAATGGAAAAATACCCTCAGGTGAGGATTAACAGAAAAAAGAAAGGAAGAAAAAGGGAAGGGTAAAGAAATATAAGAACTGAAAAGTGACCTTTGGTCTTTGTGACATGGAGGTGACTTTGCCACTGTGGGCTTTAAGCAGATGCTAGTGGGTAGGACAGTCACTGGTAGGCGACTGGAAACTCCTCCGGAGGTATCTTTCAAGAAGCCTCACTGAGAAAGGAAGGGAGGAAATACAGTGGAAGCTGCAGAGGTAGATGGAGGTAGCTGAGTCACAGCAGAGATTTTTCTCTCTAGGATGGAAATGCACACGATTCTAGGCTAAGGAGCAGTACAGAGGGCGTGGTCAAAGCTGGAGAAAAGTGAACCGAAAACACATGGAGAAGAGCCTGGAGATGGAAGAGAACAGGGTTGTGATGCCACGGATCCATTGAGGTGGAAGGTCGTGCGTTTGCTGTGGCCCTAATCTATACAGATGGAGGATTTATTCCGGAAGCACTCAGCCACCTGAACACACAGACTGAGGAGGAGGCTTGATGTAAGTGAGTATCTGCCTGGTAGTTGAGGGTGTCTAAGAACATGGTTCAGGTGTGATCATGGGATCCAAGGCCCAGCTGAGTAGGGAAGTGAAGTCCAGAGAGGCCATCAGATAGGGAGAGGATGGATGAGTTTATATCAATAGGGAATTCATATCAATAAGTATCAATGGGGGAAGTACAAAGGGCAGCAGCAGAGCGATGAGGTTGAAAGAGCTGGTTTGATGTGGTCAGACTTTGAGCTAGTGTCGAGGAGTCCGGCTGCTGTGCAGTCAGGGGGTGCCAGAGCATGCGTACATTTTGTAGCTGTCTCCGCATGCCTTACATCTGCAGCTAGCCAGCAGGTGGAGGACAGGCCTTAACTCTTAGAATGCCTCGTTTATGCCAGTCGATGCTCAATATTGCAAACTGATGATTGGAAAGCAGATTCTTTCCAGTGGGAAGGCCCACTTCCACAGCAAAGACTCAGGAAAGCTCACAAGTCCCTTCCTATAAACACCCTTCCCCTTGAGCTGCCAGCCCCCTACCCGACTTGCACAGCCCAGTTCCCATTCTACCCAGTACTCACAGAGAAGGACCTTCCTGCCAAGTTGGACGACTTGACAACCTCCGTCACGTTAACATTCAGGCACGTGTGGTCTGTAAGGGAAACAACAGTTGGGGGTGGGGAAGAAGTGTGTGGGTCTTGAATCTGGGAGGTATAAGATGGGGGGCAGCTGTGAATGGGCCTTCAGGGAAGTAGGGTGGACTCTAGGTCCTAAGAAGACACCCCCTTCCAAAATTAACCCCCTTCCACATCCTGCTTAGTCCCTTCCTGACTCCACTTGGTCCTCGCCAAGTTTCAGTTTCTTCCTGATCATCCATTTCGCTTCCCTGGTGAATCCACAGTTTCTGCATCTTCAGGCATAGCAGCCAACCCAGAGCCCCTTCTTCACCTCCTTCTGCACCTCTTTTTCAATGGAAGAAAGTTCTGCTGAACTTCCTTGCAGCTGCTGGACATGCTAAACATGGAAGGAACACCCAGCCCAGGTTGTGTGTACAACAAAGGCACACAGAGGTGTAGGGGTCCATTACTCCTGACAGGTTGAGAGTGTTCCCTTGACTTTCAGAATGGTGTATAATGTGTCAAAAATCATTACTATATGACTGCTACCAGGTTCTCCCTTCTTCCTGCTAAGAAGGGTTCTTAGATGCCTAAGCCTCCGAGGAGGGTCCTGGCATTGTTCTGATAGGGTTTTGTGATGGAAAACTTTTGGAGGAGGCATACGATAGAGTGGGGGTAGGCAGTGGGAGTCTTGTGAAGGAATGAGAAGAAATACAATTTTAACAATAAGAGTTAACATTATCATTTACTATATGCACACAAATTAGTATCTTATCTCCATTTTAGAAGTGAAGAAATGAGTAGAGAGGTCACAAGTAATTTGCCCCAGGTCTCAGTGGTAAGTGGCAAAGTTGGCTCTGAAGCCTGCCCCTCTGGTTCCGAATCTGTACTCTGGGCCCACTCTGTGACCGCCTCTCCTTTTCAGCTATTGCCACAGTCACGTGTCTCCTTTACGGTGTTAAAGATCTACAAGGAAAGAATGTCTAGCGCCCTGGCCGGGTAGCTCAGCTGGTTAGGGTGTTGTCCTGATACACCAAGAACATCTCACCGTGATAGAGTTTCATATGTCATCCATAAATTCAACCTGTCTGGAAGCCGTTTTATTGAGAAGTGATCAAATCAGTAATCTTGAGTTTCCTCTTTGTGCCAGATGCCAAGAAAATTTCGGAGCAATGATACCCATAGAGAAACACAAATGCTTTATATGACAGGTGTCATAACTGGCATGCGAGCAAAGCCGCAGAGGATATTAGAGACAGAGCGATTCATCATAGTCGGATGGAGTGGGGGGAGGGATGCAAGACATATTCCTCATAGGCTTCCAGACTGGCTAATATCCATTTTCATTCTGTGTTTCTTCTGGAACATTTCAGATTCATTCATTCTTTATATGTATTTATTTATTATTTTTTGATCCTCTTAATCCTCACCCGAGGATATTTTTCCATTGATTTTTGTCAGATAGAGTGGGAGGGAGGGAGAGAGAGAAACATCAATGTGAGAGAGCCACATCAATATGTTGCCTTCCGAATGCGACCCGACCAGGTACGTGCCCTTGACCAGGAATCAAATCCGCAACTCTTCCGTCTATAGGCCGATGCTCTAACCGCTGAGCAAAACGGCCAGGGCCATTCCTTCTTTTTAAAACAAGTGTTTGAGTGTAAAGAAGCACTTCCTTTATTCAGTGGATGCTTACTGAGTATCCACTATGTGCCAGCTCATGTGCTGGCACTGGGGTAGAGCATGGAGCACGATGCGCGTCTGCCTGGGTCAACGTTCTTGTTTGCGCTGGAAAGATCTAGGGGCACCTGTGGATCACAGCCTGCTGGTCTGGTCTGCTGAGCTCTGGCGCTCACAGAGGAAGTGGCGGTGAGGAGCACAGGCTCCCGTGTGGGGGGCGACCTTGGGCGAGTTCTGTCTTTTCTTCAGTGTCCTCACCAGTAAAAGGTTGCTAATACGAATAATACCTATCTCAGCGTTAACATGCTTGATGTAGCATAACCTGCCGTCTGGGCAATGGGTGCAGTGGTTAGTAATACACGTTGCCAACCTTGATTATTCCAGAAGGCCAGGGCGCTAACAGGAATAGCTCATACTCATAATTTATGCATATTATTCTATACACATAAACTGGTATCTTTTATCTCAATTTTAGATTTAGATAATTAGATACTACCTTATTATCTAATATATATCTGTAATTATAGAATTGGCCAGGAGATGGTTTGGGTCAGTAGTGCCTTTTGTGAACGGGAGTGCCCGCCCCCTCAAACAGCCTTCGGAAAAAACCTCTGCACACAAAGCTGCAGCCCGCAGGCCTCCGTGCGGTCCCTCCGCTCCGCAGGCCTCAGAGGCGCACTCCGTGCGGGAGCGCGTGTCGCTCACTGGGAAGCGTCCAAGGGTGGGGACCGCACTTGGCTCCTGCAGCCTGGCCCCCAGCCCTGGCCCAGCGCGAGCAGGAGCCCAACCACCTTCACTGACCCCAGGGATGGGGTGGGAGACCTCCTTCCCCTGGTTCCCCTCGTCTCCTGTCACTCGACCCTCTATCCTTCTCCCTCCTTCTTGTCCCTTCGCCCTCTCTCTGCTCTGCTGTCCCAACTCCTCACCTTCGGTGTCACTGGCTGGAAGGGCCTTCAGGACCAGCCCAGTGGCCCTCAGGGAAATGGTAACCTCTCGGGTCCGGTGGCTGAGCAGGGCCTGGGGAGGGCGATGCAGGCACAGATTGGGGTCCTCAGGACAACCCAGCCCCCACACATCCTCGCATCAACAGTCTCGCTTCCAGCCCCTGCCCCAGAGCCTGGTGTGCGTCATTACTGTCCAATGAGGGGACAGGGATACGGGCTTGGGCACTCTCAGCCCCGGAGGCACGAGCGGCCTTCTCCCCCAAAGGGCTCCATCTCCGCATGCATCCGCTCAGCCAGCGAGGAAGGTATTTTGGAGCAAGGGGACAGCCCCTTGTTCCTTAAATCAGATCCCCGACTTGTCTACATGCGAGGCCATTCCTACAAAACTCTCCGAAAGTGGGGAAACTGGGGGCAGAGCCCAGAAAAGGGCAGAAGGTTCCCTTGGCGCCCATGTTTCTGTTTCCACCCGGCTGTACCTCCTGACCACACCCGCCACTGACCTTCTGGTAGCACAGGGAGAGCTCAGCCCCTGGGCCCTCAGCCGTGCCTTTCCTCCTGGGTGAGAAACCATCTGAGGAAGAAGAGAAGAGGCTGAAGGAGGGAGGTCCCCTGACCCCAGCTTCCCCACCTCACTGAGCCTCGGGAGTGGGAGTGCCAGGCTGTCCTTCAGTCTGGGTGAGCTTGGAGGGAGCCAATTCACCTCCAGCAAAGAGAGGTAGGAGGACTTTCTGCCAACGGGGCTTGGGGAGGTTGAGACAGAGCGAGCTTCGGAAAAGGGGGGTGATGCTCACCTTTGGGGAGTTTGGAGTCTTGGATCTTCACCTTCAGCTCAGTGAGGAAAATGTCCTCCGCAGAGTCTTGGCTCAGGTCACTAAAGAAGATCTGGAGAGATGGAGGGAGGGAGGGAGGAAGTGAGGGGGGAAGGAGACTGGAGAAGGCCGGCTCTGCCCGAGGCAGCTCCCTGCCCAACCCCGGAGCCCAAGGATGTGAGTGGCGGGGAGAGTGAGCAAAAGCCCCTCCTGCCAGTGCTGGGCTCTGAGCAGCATCCAGTGCTTCTCTGGATCTGACCTGTCCGCCTATCCACCCAGATGTCATAGGTACAGCAATACAGTTATAAATAGTGGAGGGGAGTATTACTGAAACCCAAACCACCTGTAGCCACTACTTGTGGGGACAGCAGGAATGGGGGACAAATTAACAAAGGGGAGGGTATTAAAATCTCCCCTAGCCATTGGTAGGGGGAATGAAAGGGTGAGGGCCAGGACGGAGAACCGGACCTCACTCGGTGCACAGAGAAGCTCAGGGCTGCACGGGGAGGGGCTAGTGAGACCTGAGTTGCTCTCGGTGAGACCAAGAGGAAATTTGGGGTAGGAGTGGCTCCTGAGGGAAGAGGGACAGAGAGGAGGGGAGAAGCAAGGTGTGGAGAGGACAAGAAGGAGGATGTTGGAACAACAGGAAAGACTGGCCACAGCATTCTCAAAAGAACAGGGATAGAGAGAGAAAAAAGTGGCCACCAGAAGCTGGGAGCTGGCTTGGCACCCACAGCGAGGTCTTGGGGTCCTGTTCACCATAAACAATTTCACAGGTGCCAACATTGTTAGGCAGAGCTACTCTGTGACAGTGATGGGTCATAACAAAAGCCAGACCATGCCACTGTCACATCTGCACACAGGCAAAAATGGACACACTGTGCAGACCACATCCTGTACCCTCTCCCAGCACACAGTGAGCGGCTGCTCACTGTGCCCAGTCATAGAATCATTCCTGCTTCCTGACAGCATTTGATCCTGAGCAAAGTCCTGCTTTAGGGAGCCCTCTCCAAAGTCACCCAACAGGAGGCAAAATTCCATTTGTTCTAAGTCTCTTCCCGAGATGCCTCATGGCTGTCCATGGTGTGTGGTCTTCCTCACTGCAGCAAGTCCGGAAACCCAACTCTGTTCAGCTACAGGTGTGCTTCCGGGGACCTTTGGTTGAAGGGCAGTGACAGCTACCTAGTATTTAATTTTAAGTCATTTGCATTACTCCCTTTCCTGGAGACCTTTGAGAGGTTGTTTTTATTTGTCTATTTTGTGTTGTTTTGGTTTGCATTTTGAAAATCAAGGAAAAGGTCTAAATCCTCTATTTAGGTCAAAATCAGGAAGGCAATAAAGAAAAGATCTACTACCTGGCTGGTGGTGGTTCAGGGGATTGAGCCTCAGCCCATGGACTGAGAGGTCCTGGTTCAATTCTCTGTCATGGTACAGGCCCGGGTTGTGGGCTCAATCCCCACTAGGGGGCATGCAGGAGGAAGCTGATGGATGTATCTCTCTCACATCAATGTTTCTATTTTTTTTCAAATCCTCACTGGAGGGTATTTTTCTATTTCTCTTCAGATAGAGTAGAAGGGAGGTAGGAAGGGAGAGAGAGAGAGAAACATCCATGTGAGAGAGACACATTGACTGGTTGCCTCCTGCATGATCCCCACCAGGGCCAGAGACAAACTGCAACTGATGTACATGCCCTTGACCGGAATCAAACCCATGACTCATTGGTCCACAAATCAACGCTCTAACCACTGAGCAAGACTGGCCAGGGCTCACATTGATGTTTCTATCTCTCTCTTTCTTCCTTCCTCTCTCTCTGAAAAATCAATTAAAAAAACATATATATTTTTTTGTATAAAAGCCCGGCCGGTGTGGCTCAGTGGTTGAGCATTGACCCATGCACCAAGAGGTCGCCAGGTGAATTCTTGGTCAGGGCACATGCCCAGGTTGTGGGCTAAATCCCCAGTGGTGGGGCATGCAGGAGGCGGCTGATCGATGTTCTCTTTCATCGATGTTTCTATCTTTCTCTCCCTTCCTCTCTCTCTCAAATCAATAAAGAAAAAGAAGTGAAAAAACAGAAAGATCTACCATAAGAAGCAGAGTGAAAAACAAGAATTCAGTAAGCTAGGAAGCTAGAGGCAGAGATGGCTGTTAAATGTAGTCCACTGGTGCCCACAGAAATCCAGCGATTGAGAAGATAAAATTAACAGCCAAGAGTCTCTGCATGAGTTTATGACTTTTACCATAATAACCGTGTTTCCCCAGAGCCGGGATGTTTAGGTTGTAGGGTCCTGGGGTCCAGCAGACGGCCATGGTATCCTTGGAGCTGCAGGTGGAACGCTTACCTTGACTGTGTACATCTGGAAATAGATGGGTTGGGTGCCCATGCGGACATAGTAGGTGATGACATCCAGGATGAAGGGGTCTACGGTCTGGGATGTGTCCAGGGAGGGAGGCTGTGAAGCAGACAGAGAATGCTTTCAGCTACCTCTTTCCATGTTACTATGGGAGGTGCCACTTTCTTAAGAGAGAAACTCCAGAGCCCTACCTATCCTCTGTGATGCATGAACCCAGCTGGTCCTTCTGCACAGTCCAAGCCTTTCCTACTACCCAATTTCCACTCTAGTCAAAATGCTCCCATCCAAATCCCATCTCCCCAGGAACTCTGATTCATTGTAATTGCACAAAGACATACTGGGCACCTCTATGTGTGAAGCACTATGCTGGGTGCTTGGGGTAGACAAGATGCTTGAGTATATAACTAATGATGAGAGAGTCTGGACTGGGTTCTGTTTGGATTAGCTACTCATTAACCTGGGGCATGAGAAGTTGAACCAGATGATCTGATGTCTCTTTTAGTTCTTGTGGTATCTGAATATATTGATAAACACATTTTTGCATGTTATTGGGAAAGGACTAGCCCCATGTCCTACAGGCTTTCCTCAATCCCATATAATCCTAAAGCATAATGATTGGGTAGTTTAGGTAAACAGAAAAGAATGTCTACATAGAATCTGATGGTATCAGAGTTGGAAAGACTCAAGTTTATCTAATCAAGCTTGTAAAAGATTTTATAATATCTCTTCTGATTCTCACATCTGGTCTACTAAAATACTGTTCCCTTCAAGGGTCATGCTGAAGAACTATGAACTTATTCTAGTGATGCTGCATTGCTCACACTGTTTCCAGCTCTTCATGTGGAAACTGCTTTTGGAGTAAGTGTGAGGGTCACGCAAATTGTTAATTATAAGAGGAAGAAGAGCAGAGAAAAACCAAAATCTTGTATGTGTCCTGGCAGGGGAAAAAAGCTACCAGTAAAAGCACATAAACAAAACCTCCTACCCTTGCTGCCTCTACCATCTCTGCCAGCTTCAGATCTTCCTCCTGTAATATCCTCCAAGTTTTGAGGAAAAGGTATTTCAATACCCAGCTCAACAGTCATGTATGTATATGCAGACATTTTTAGATCAGCAATAATTCAGAAAACATGCCTCCCCACCAACATCTTTATTCAAGCAAAAGATATAAGAAAGCACCCCAACCAATCAGATAATAAAGCAAAATGGAGAGCTCAGTAAAGTGGAAAGTTTGAAAGTAAATATGTAAAAATCCATAGGTCCCTTTTTTACTAGCAGTAACTACTGTCCAAAAACAATGGGAGAAAGATACCATCCACAACTGCAAGAAAAAAACTATTAAACATGAAGATAGCCTGGCAGGTGTGGCTCAGTGGTTGAGCGTTGCCATGCACCAAGAGGTTGCTGGTTCGATTTCTGGTCAGGGAACATGCCTAGGTTGTGGACCAAATCCCCAGTATGGGGTATACAGGAGGCAGCCGATCGATGTTTCTCTCTCATTGATATTTTTATTTCTCTCCCCCTCTCCCTTCCTCTCTAAAAAATCAATAAAAAATATATTTTAAAATAACCATGAGGATAAATTAAACAAGAAATGGGTAAACTCTATATGCTGAGACCTGCACAACTACCCTGAGGGGTATACAAGAAAACTTTAATGAATAAAGACTTATACTTTGATCCCAGAGAGGGTCACTTAATGTGCTAAAGGTACTAATTCTCTTCTCAATTCCAATCAAAATCCCAAATGAATTAAAAATAAAATGAAGCTCTGGCCTGTGTAGCTCAGTTGGTTGGACATCGTCCCGTGCACTGAAAGGTTGCTGTTGGATTCCCAATCAGGGCACATGCCTGGGTTGAGGAGGAGGCAGCTGATCGATGTTTCTCTCTCACATTGATGTTTCTCTCTCTCTGCCCCTCCCTTCCTCTCTCTCTCTCTAAAAAAAAGAATTCAATAAAAATATTTTTTAAAAAGTGAAATGAAAACAAAATTCTAGACTTCCGGTCAAGATGGCGGCGTAGGTAAACGGTATCGCGTCCTCCCACAACCACATCAAAGTTACAACTAAACTACAGAACAACCATCATTCAAAACCGCCTGAAATCAAGCTGAATGGAAGTCCTACAACTACGGAATTAAAGCAGCAGCCACATCCAGACTGGTAGGAGGGGCGGAGGCTGTCGGGCTGGTCCCACACCCACGTGTGGCGGATAAAAATCAGGAGGACACCTCGGCTGGGAAGGTCCTCCCTGAGGACTAAGGGGTCCCCGTCCCACACCAGGTGCCCCGCTCAGGGTCCCAGTGCCAGGAGGAGAATCCCCATGACTTCTGGCTGGAAAAACCAGCGGGAACTGAGCCTCAGGGAAGCTGACACGGCGGGAGCCCCAGGCAGCTCCTTAAAGGGCCCGCGCACGGACTTATCGGACTCTCTCCCTCTAAGCTCGGAGGGGAGGCAGCTCGAGGGGCACCAGAGACATACAGGGAAGAACTGAGCTGTTTGGCACTGGTGCGAGGGCTGGAGAGGGGGCTCTCTCCGGGACAAACATGCTGTCAGAGGCCTTTGTTCCTTTGGTGAGCCCTTCCCGGGGGCGGCAGACAGTCGCCAAATCTGGGACTCCAGCAACCTGGCTCACACTGGTAGCCCCGCCCTGGTGACTCCCTGAAGCCCCGCCCCACCCAACTTTCAGGCCCACCCAAGCTGTTGCCACTTGCTTAACCATAGGATTGGCCTGTCTTGGATCCTGCTTCAGGTTTTCCTAAATTCTTTCAAACAAGCAGCATCTGGTCTCAGCTAGCCCCATACCTCTCATTAAGTAATACACAGAAACAAGCACAGGGAGGCAGCCAAAATGAGGAGACAAAGAAACAGGTCCCAAATGAAAGAACAGAACAAAACCCCAATAAAAGAACTAAGTGAAATGGAGATAAGCAACCTAACAGATGCTGAGTTCAAAATACTGCTTATAAGGATGCTCAATGAACTTATTGAGAACCTCAGTGAACTTAGTGAGGGCCTCAAGAGCATAAAAAAGGACCAGTCAGAAATGATGGATGCACAGTCAGAAATGAAGGAGGCATTAACTGAAATAAAGAATAATTTACACAGATTCAATAGTAGAGTACGTAAATCCAAGAAGCAAACCATCGATTTGGAATATAAGGAAGCAAAAGACACCCAATCAGAACAGCAAAAAGAAAAAAGAATCCAAAACAATGAGGATAGTGTAAGGAGCCTCTGGGACAACTTCAAGCATGCCAACATTCGCATCTTAGGGGTGCCAGAAGGAGAAGAGAGAGAACAAGAAATTGAAAAGCTGTTTGAAACAATAATGGCAGAAAACTTTCCTAACTTGGTGAAGGAAACAGACATACAAGTCCAGGAAGCACAGAGAGTGCCAAACAAGATGAACCCCAAGAGACCCACACCAAGACACATCATCATCAAAATGCAAAAAGTACAAGACAAAGAGAGAATCTTAAAAGCAGCAAGAGAAAGGCAGCTAGTTACCTACAAGGGAGTTCCCATAAGGCTGTCAGCTGATTTCTCAAAAGAAACTTTGCAGGACAGAAGGGAGTGGCAAGAAATATTCAGAGTGATGAAAAGCAAGAACCTACAACCAAGATTACTCTATCCTGAAAAGCTGTCATTTATAATCGATGGCCATATAAAGAGTTTCCCAGACAAGAAAAAGTTAAAGGAGTTCATCACCACCAAACTGTTATTGTATGAAATGAGGAAGGGTTTTTTTGAAGAAAAAGATAAAATATATGAACAAACAAAATGTCAATGAATACATATCTATCAATAATGGAATCTACAGACAAAATGAACAGGCAGAACAGAAACATTCTCATAGACACAGAGAACATTTTGTTGGTTGCCAGATGGGAGGGCAGTTGGAAGAATGGGTGAAAAAGTTGAAGGGATTAAGAAGTACAAATTCATTGCTTGACTGATGAACCTCAAAGGGAAAGGGGTTGGGGGTGGGAAGAAATGAACCAAAGAACCTATATGCATAACCAATGGACACAGACAATAGTGTGGGAAAAGGCGGGAGGGAGGTGGGAGTGGGGAGGAGGGAGTCAATGGGGGAAAAATGAAGAACATCTGTAATACATTCAACAATAAATATTTGAAAAAAACCCCCACAAAATTCTAAAATTTATCTAGAAACAAACATAAATAAGCACATTCTAAAAGTTTTGAAAAAGAAGAGTAATGAGGTAGGCTTACCCTGACAGCTATTAAAATATGAAAGTGCTAATTTGTACAAAACTAAATAGATCAATGAGAAAGAATAGGTATCCAGAAATAAACTCAAGCATATGTTAGAATTTAGTAAATGATAAAAGTGGCATTTCAGAGTGACAGAGCAAGATGGTTTATGCAATAAATAGCTGAGGAAAACTGGCCAAACATTTGGAAAAAATAAAATTACATACGTCCCACTACACACTGAAATTAATTGCAGATAGGTTATTTCAATGTAAAAGTTGAGATGTTAAAAGTGTTAGAATAAATTATCAGTGACTATTCAATCAGTCGAGAAGTCCTTTCAAAGCATAAAAGTACTATGTATGTTTATATAAAAATATTAAACTTTTGAAGATCAAAACCACTACTGACCCAATCGCTAGGCAAAAAAGCAAAGTGGAATAAAATGTCTGCAACACACATGACCACAAAAAGGATAAGATTCTCTTTATATGTCAAAGCCTTTTCCCATCAGTCAGCGAGAGCTCCCCTCCCACTGCCGGCCGGGGCCGGGCTGGCTCTATGGTTCGTGTTGAGGAGATCATGCTCTGGGATCAAGCTGCCGGACTCCAAGAGGGACTCTGCACTCATTTAGTTACTTTGGGCAGGTGACCTAATCTCTTCAGGCCTCAGCTGCTTGCCTGTCACATGGGGCCCAGAGACAACAGCACTTGCCAAGAAGACTGTCTACTTGGTAGGGAAGCTGTGCTAAGTGCTTAGAACAGCGTCTGGAACGTGGACGTGCTCAGGCAGCCTTAGCCGTTATAACCACAGAGAAAGCATCCCAGGACACTCACAAGAGAATGTAATTGGCCCACACACTTACGAAAGGGTGTTTTACTTCATCTTTCCACAGCCATTTTGTCCAAAGTAGTCATCCCCGTGGACCCCCATGGACACCAAAACCTGCGGATGCTCACGTGCCCCTTGTGCAAAGTGGCCTGGTGTCTGCGTGTAACCTACTCACAACCTCCTGCAAGCTTCCTTATAATGCAGAGCACAATGGAAATGCTACATAAACAGTTGTTATACTGTATTATGGAGGGAACAATGACAAGAAAAAAATGGTCTGTAGTGTTCAGGACAGACGTCGCCACCCAGGCCTGATGACGTACTCCACGGCAGCAACGCCGGGACTTGTTTCGTCTGAGTCTGCTCGGCCCCGGCGGGTTGAAGCGCAGATGTGGGAGCCGTGCATAAGGAGGGCTGCAGCGCTTGCTAAGTGTTCTGAGTCAATTCCAACCACTCGTTGGCTGGGGTTCTCTCCTGTGTTTCTCTCCTGCCTCCTCCAACCTTGGGGCCCCCTGGACTGACTCTTGAGGTCAAGAGTCAAGAGCAATATCAGAAATGGCCCCCTCCCACCTCCCTCCACCCTCCTACCCTCGCTGCCCCTACCATCTCCGCCAGCTTCTGGATGGCCGGGCACAGGGTGTTGACGGTGCTCTCGTACCATGGGTCAGCGCGGCCCAGGAACGCGGCCAGCTCTCCGAGCTCCACGTGCCTGGGTGATGCGGGCTTCTGAGGACAAGGGGATGAGGCCGACCCGTCAGGCTTTGCCTCCAACACTCTTCCTGGCCAGAGGGTCCCCGGGTACCAGTCCTAGGCAAACCAGCTTTGGGAATGTAGTCAAGTCACCTAAGCTCTTGAGGCCATTTCTGCACCATGTAAAGGCTGCGTGTTTTATACCCCAGATGAAGCCGGAGTACCTTTCTCTGAGGGCCACTTGTCAGGGACACTGAAAATGATCGTCAGCCTTAAAAGGAGAGAGACAGTGGCTTTGCATTTAATGCTGCCCAACAAGCAGCAGAGTGGGCAACGGAAACGAGGAACCTCAAGTGGGGCTTCCTCTCCCCCGGTGGGTCAATGGGCTCCCACTGCCTGAAATTCCCAGGTGTGTGCGTGTGCGTGTGTGTGAGTGTGAGTGGGAGTCCCTGTCTGAGGAGAAGCTTGCTTTTAATTCCATCAGAAAAGCAAAACGAAAGCCCACGGTGGGCAGGCTGCCCCTGGGAGAGAACGTCTCTCCGGCCACATTCAGCCCCCAGGACCCGTGCCTGGAACAGGGGACCTTTGAGGTCGCTTCCTGCTCCGCAGCCCAGGGAAGGGTGAGTCTAGTTCCCGGAGCCAGGGGAGGCAAGGCGCAGTGTGCCCCTGCCAGCCCTCCCCCGGACCCCTGCCCCTGGCACCCCGATGCCCTGCCCCACACCTCCACCTCAGGTGTCAGCACAGGGATGTAGTAGAGCTGCAGGCTGAGTCTGGGAGTGAGGCAGAACGTCTGGGTCTCTCGTTTCCTGGCAAAGGACAACAGCATGAGGGTGAGGGCGGGGGATTCAGCTTCAGACAGACTTGGTTCTTCTCATCTACACAATGGGTGCACTGCACCGTCTTCCCCACCTTATCCTGGCCTCTGGCTCCTGGCCCTCCTTAGCCACTCCTTGATCTGCACCAGCACATGCCAGGCCCCCCGCCCCCCGCCACACCTCTGGCCCTACCTGAGGCTGTGGTATGCCTGGGCCAGGCGCCCCAGCATCCGGTCATCCCCGAGCACCAGCACCCGGGCAGTGTGCAGCCGGGAGACACCGGGTAGCAGTTCTCCATCCCCCATGGGTCTGCCCGTCCTCCGGTGAAGCCCCGGGGGCCCATCCCAGTTGCTGGGCATCAAGATGTCCAGGGGCCACACCCGCTTCTTCATGCCCCCTTTGCGCTGCAGCCCTGCGCGCTCCATCTCCGGGCTGCTGGGGGTGAGCAGTTCCTCGGTCCCCGAAGGAAGGTCCCGCTCGATGCCGCTGTCGGTGGACAGCATGGACGCACGGGCCAGCTCCTGGTCTGGCAGGAGGCCCTGCAGATCCAAAGCCTCCAAGTCAGCGCTGAGGCGCATTTGGGATCTCGGGCGCAAGAAGAGCACCAGTTCCTTCCCTGCGATGTGGAGAACAAGGGGACCGTCGGGGTGGAGAGGGCATGTGAGGCTGGCAGGGCCTCACCCTGGCAAGGCCTGGGGTTCCATGTTTCTCAAACACTGTTCAGCTGAACAGAAGCCCCATGAAGGAACAGAGGTTCTGTGGCCAAAGGACTAAGAACCCCACATGCCTGCCTCCTGTTAAGTTTCGTTAGTCAACATCTCAAAGGCTCTGAGAAGTCCTGCAGTAAAGAAACCAGCTTCACCCAGTACCTCTGGACTCTAGAGCCCTCCTTTTCACCTTTGCTCACTAGCATCCTCCATCCTCCCACTTCCCAGAGCATGCCCTGAGATACAGAGAACAGACCAGCAGCTCCTGGAATCTCCCCGGCTTTTCGAACCTTCCTTCATTTTATTTCCCATGAGTAAACTGAGGCCCAGAGAGAAAACTGAGTCTGTCTAGGGTGACCTGGCATGTGAAAGGAAGTGCCCAGACTTGACCCCAGTTCACCGGTCCGGCACTACAACCTGCGCCTTTGCCTTCCCCTCTCCCTGGACAAGAGCCAGGGCGCTGTGGGAGGAAACACCAGCGTGGAGGGGAAGTGTTGGGTGAGTGGTCTTTCTGGAAGGCCCCTCCAGCTCCAGGAAACATCACTTCTGTTGTGACTGCCTCCCTGGGGACCTGCATTGTCTGCTGGCATCATCATGGGCATGTGGCACTTTCTAGACATTCGAGGCCAGTGACTAATGCATTGAGCTATTCTGACAAAGAAATGCATTCTTCTTCCAGATGTGCTGGCAACCCAGTATACGCAGACACACACACGCATACGCACACAGAGATACACATAGACACACACAGATGCACACACAAAGACATACACAGACACAGACATCGACACACAATAGATGCATAGATACGTAGTCACACAACACACATAGAGACACAATAGGTACATATACAAACACGTACAGAAACATACACAGACATACAGAGATGCATCTACACACACACACACACACACAACACACTCAGACACACACATATGCCACTGTTTCCGGTCAGCTCCCACGAAGTCAAAGGCACTTACAGAGCTGCTCTTCGTCGGTCCACAGGTGGAATGTGATGTATGGGCTCGGCAGGGGGATGCTTGGTGGCCGGTCTGGGAGGGCGTCACCTGAAGGAAGGAGCAGGCTGTGGAGTCCATGAAGGAGAAGATGTGGGATTCTCCTCTGCCCTCCCCACCCCACCCCCAGCTCCTGCATGGAACCTGGAGGGGGTGGCAGAGACCCTCGCCCTCCCGCACCTGGTCTTGTTGCGTTCCTCTCCCTCTCTGCCATCATCTCACCCGGGCCTAACACTGCACAGTCCCCTCCTGCCCAAGAAGGCCTGGAAGCTCCGTTTCCTGCAAACTTCCTAGCTCAGCCTATAGAACCCTTCACAGATCAGCTCGCAGTGTCGTCCCAACCTTTTCTATTGTTGGTCACCCCCTGCCGCACGCTGCAGCCTCGCTGCCTTTCCCATTGTTCCCAGAAGCCCTGCCTACATCCAGAGGAAGGGAAAAGGCTGCTGTATTTCTTAGGGTCTCTTCCAGTAGTTTGCACACAGTAGACACTCAATTAACATTTGCTCCTGTGGGTGATGCAGAAGAGAGCTCATCAGCCAAGTACTAAGGGCAGCAGGCAGCCTGCAGTCCAGGGGAGAGACCAGGGCCAGCCCCTCCTCTTTTTCCAGAAGCCTTCCTGACCACTCCAGCCCCAGTGCAGGCAGACTCCAGGCAGGCACAGCACTGCTCTCTGGCGCCCCCTTCAGGGTCCCCGACCACACTGCCTCACTGCCCCTGCCCGCGCTCCCGCCACTTACCGCCGCAGCGCCTCCTAGCGGCCGCCGTCGGCCCCAGCAGGGAGCAGTAAACCTCTCTCAGCCTTTCCAGGTGTCCAGCAGACCTTACAGGCTGCGCTTTAGGCACCTAACCTGTAGCCTTAGGATTTACTTTCTGCATAGCATGGCTCCCTCCCTAACAAGGCTACAAGCTTCCTTAGTGGAGAGCAACTAACGCCACAGAACACTTACTACTGCCAGATGCTGTTCTCACCTTGCACACATTACCATTGCTTCACCGGATCCTGCCAGTGACCCTGGGCCACAGATAGTATTATTATCCTCACTTTACAGAGGAGGAGCCAGGGGCACAGAGAGGTTAAGTAACTGGCCCAAGGCCACACAGTAAGTGGCAGAGTCAGAATTTGAGCCCAGGTATCCCAACTTCAGAGTGCATGCTCTTATCCAGGACTCTGTGCTCAAAACCATTGTCCCATGCTGCTCCAGTAGCAGTAGAGGCTCAACTGGGTTGCTGGCTGGTCATTAAGATGTGCAGGACAGCCCTGGCCAATTTGGCTCAGCGGTTAGAGAGTCGGCCTGTGGTCCAGAGAGACCTGGGTTCGGTTCCCGCTAGGGCATGTACCTTGGTTGCAGTTTGTCCCTGGCCCTGGTTGGTCGTGCGGGTGGCAGCCATTCGATGTGTTCCTTTCACGTTGATGTTTCTCTCTCTCTCTCCCTCCCACTCTATCTGAACAAAAAAATGGAAAAATGTCCTTGGGTGAGGATAAAATTAAAAAAAAGATGTGCAGGACAGGTCAAGGTAGGAGGCAGGTGCTAGATGTGGTTGGGATGGTGGGGGTGGCCCAGACCTGGTCGCATCCTGTTCACGCAGTCACTGCTAAGTTAGCAAGTGGTACCCAAGGAGAGCAAAGCCAGATTTGCCTCAGGATTTGTCCCAGCTTTGGGAGGAAGGAGGCTTCACGAGCAGACATTTCCACGTGGTTATCAGAGGCACAGAGGTATCGAATATTAAAGCAAAACAAAAGAACAGAACACTAAGAAGATGGAGGGTGTCTGGGGAGGACCATCCTGCCTGCCTCACCCTGACTTCTGCAGCCTCCACCATCCCTGGGCTGCCACGATCAAGCCCCAGAGCTGGCACACTGACCTCTGCCCTTGACTTAGGTTGGTGCCCTGTGCCTGTGGGTGCATGGTGTGTTCTGGAACGTGCAGGCTAACGAATTTCATGGGCAACCATGAAACGGCACAAATCTGAACCATCCCAACAGCTAGATAGACACGTTCCAGGACACTTCTCAGAGCTCTTTAGGGTCTCCCAGTTTACACAGGCTTGATTCCCATCAGTGTGTGGCATTGTCTTAAAGAAAGCAAATAGAAAGGAAGCATGCGGAATAAAAATAGGTGACACCAGATGTAAGTGATGTTGACTAGGCTGCTATTTTAAATGCTTTTTAGAGCATCCCTGGACCATCAGACTCTTTGGTTACTAGAATGTAGTGGTTAAGAACAGGATAAGCTGGGTTTGAATCTTGGCTCTGCCACTTAACCAGCTGGATGATCTCGGGAAAATTTATAGCCTCTTTCTAAATCAGTTTTCTCATCTGTAAAACAGGGATGATACTTTCCTATCTCAAGAGTTTACTGTGAGGATTAATTGGTTTAATATATGTAATATATTTAAACATATAAAATGCTGAGAACAGAACAGCATTTTACTGGGGTGTAGTAGGTGCCCTGCAGAACAAATTAGCCACCTTCTTAGCCCAGAGCCTTTCAAGTTCCTGGGCACCCTCAGTCCCCAGGCTTCTAGGAGTAGTATTGCGCCCAACCCCAGTGCAGTCATGCATGCAGACGGCAAGCAGGTACAGAACTGCTCTCTGGCGCCCCCTGCAGGGTCCCCAGTCCGCAGCGCCTCACTGCCCCGCCCGCCCTCTCGCCACTTACCGCCGCAGCGCCCCCTGGCGGCCGCCGTCGGCCCCAGCAGCGAGCAGTAAACCTCTTCCAGCCTCTCCAGGTGTCCCTCCCGGCTGGGGCTGGGCTCGCTAGCCATCTGCTCCACGGCTGCCACCACCGCGTGGAAATAGCGCTCCAGGGCGCGGCGGGGGCTGGCCTGTCGGGGAGGGGTGTCAGAGCCTGGATCCCGGCCCAGCACCCACCCATCCCAGCTCCGACGCCAAGTTCGCAGGTGCATGGGCAACCTAACGTGGCACTTCCTCTCTGCCCGGGGGACCGGATGGAGCTTCCCTGCCAAGGCGTCTGCGCCCCACCTAGGGCGCCGCTCCTGCCCCGCCACAGCTGTTACCAGATGCTGCCTGCAACTGCGGGTCCACTCTGCCTCTCCACCCTGGTGTGGGGAGACAGCTGCTGCCCGGCAACCAGACGGGCAGGGATGACTGACGGTGCCCACCCTTCCCGAAGCGTCACAAAGCACTTGGATCAACGTTCTGCCCCACCAGGATGCAAACCCCAGGACGGCAGTGGTTTTGTCTGTTTTATCTACAGCTGCATCCCAGCACCTAGAATACAACATCTCCTGGCACAGAGAAGGTGCTCAATCATTATTTGTTACCTGTTTCCTAAACTTCTGTCATTTTTATGCTGCCTGGACATAGCACCTATACAATTATTCACTCATTATTTTTCTTTACATCAACTCTCTCTCTTTTTTTTTTTTTTTTTTTGGTTAAATGATTTCAAAAGGAAATTGTATATTGCTACTCTAAATAAAAAGGTGGTGTCACCTGTCATAAATAGAAAACAATGATCACGAAGCACTATCGTTAGATCTAGCCGGGTACGATGGCCTGCCAAGGCTCTAGAGCTTGAAGCTTGCTTTCTCTTTTTAAAAAGGGAAACAGGCAAGTGTTAAAGATGTTTGCGGTAAAGCACCAAGCTGAGCCTTTCTCCTTACTGGAAACAGGTTTTGAGAGTTTCTCACGAAGCCATTCCACGCTCTTCAGCACTGTGTCCTTCTGCCTGCAGTGGTCCAGCTGTGACACTCTGAGAACTGCCCTGGATCACGCCCTCTGGCTGTCTTCCCTCCCTGCACCCACCACCAGCGAATCCTCTCATCACTGGCGTTTCGGGGCCCAAACAGGTGACATGGGCAGGCACACCGGGGCTTGCTCTAATCTCTCTCTGCTAGGGGTCTTCGGAGCCTGGGTCCCAACCTCCTGCGCTAAGGCAAAGTGGGTGGTCCTGACTAGCTAGGGCTCCAATAAATACCTGCTGAACGATCACCTGGATGAACAAAAGCAACTGGAGGGATGTGGAATCAGAGCTGGAAGGGGCCATCATGGGGACATCTTGTTGCTTTACTTTATAAATTAGTTATAAATAAATGAATTAAATATTTATCTAGGTAGCACCCACTGTGTGCCAGGCACTGTCCAGATGCCAGGGTACAGCAGTGACCAAAACAGACAAACATTCCTGTTCTCGTGGAGCTTATATTATAGTGTCTGGGGCGGCGGAAGGGTGGGGGTGGGGGAGGGGGGAGGGGTTGGGGAAGATGATAAACAAGATAAGTAAAATGCATTGTGTGGTAGATAACAATAAGTGCTGAAGAGAAAATAGAGCAGGAAAGGAGGGTGTGAAATATTGGGAGGGGCTGAAATTGTGGATAGTGTGGTTAGGGGAGCCTCACTGAAAAGTAACTTGTGAATTAAGGAAGTAAAGGAGTGAGCCGTGTGGTTTTCTGAGAGAACATTCCAAGCACAGGAACAGCAAGTGCAAGGGCCCTGGGGTGCAAGTGTGTCTGGCATGTTTGAGGAACAATAAGGCTCGTGAACAATAAGGCAGAGAGAAACAGAGGAAGAATATAGAAGGTGCATAGGCCACGGGAAGGAGGAGGCGGGGGACAGACCATGAGGGTCTTGTAGGCCATGTTATGACTTTGGCTTTGACTCTGAGTGGGATGGTGTGATCCATGCCAGGGTGGTGTGATCCATGCCAGACTCCCACCTACAGGACTGAGGTACTCATTAGCCTGGCTGATGGGAGTGTTGGCAGCTGGCAGCTCTCAGCTGCGTCTTTCTCCAAAATTGCCCTCAGCTGAAGAAAGCCACCTCCCCCAGGTCATGCCCCTTTCCCGAGGACAGTCCACATCCAATGACTAGCAGATGTGCAGGTGTAAAGGCCTGGCCCACTAACCCTAATTCGGGACAACAGTGAAGGGCCAGCTCAGCTCCAGAGCTTCCTAGAGAACCGGTTGTGGGCGAACTCCTTCTGGGGCTTAGTAGAATGAAGAAATGGGGAAAACTGGACCTTGGGAATGGGTAGCCGGTTTGCAGTCCTTCTGCCAAACCACTGAGAGCTGATTCTCAAAGCTGTGTCTTTAGGCTCCTGCCTTGGCCTCGTTCCCTCCAGAAATCCCTGTCTTCAAGGCTTTGCAAAGAAGGCCCCCTTGGTCCTTGTTCCCTACCCCCAGGGGCAGGGCTAGCTACCCACCCAGCACCCAGAACACAGTGCAGAGGGTCAGAGACTGGCTGTCCCACGCTGACCCCCAGTCTCAAGGCCTCTGTCAGCTGGTTCCCTGGACACATGGGGAGACAATCTACCCCACCTGAGCCTCAGACCAGGTCCTCAGTAGACAGGATGTGGCCTGGTCGTCAGATAAGGCCTACTGGGCCACCTCTCCCCAGTCCCACGTGTCCTCGTGCCAGCAGGCGTGACTGGGAATGGCGTCCTTTAAGAGGCGGAATTCCAGCTAAGGGGGCGGAGCTCTCAGGGTGGGGAGTGGCGGTCAACTGGTACAGCAGAGCCCCAGGCCAGGTGATGTCTCGGACTCCAGTACCCAACAGGGGAGGACAATGGCCAGGGGACCTTTAAGGGCCCCTCAGCACTTCTGAGGGTCTCTGACTTGAGATCAGTGATGCACTCTCTAAGCCTCTCCCTGATCTTCTTCCTCCCCACCCCCAAGACTCCATACACGAAAATGGAGACTCGGAGCACTGAACTCTAGATAGCATGAGATTGGGGTGGGCTGCCTAACATTTGGACTAAGCCTAAAATAATTACAGCTTTTACTTTCAACATTAGTTTTTTTTTCTGTTGCAAAATAGTGTATGCAACAACCCTACCAGTTCCTGCCCTGAACCCCACTTCATTCCCGACACCCTGCAACCCAGACCAGCCTCATTCCTAAGCCTACTCCTGAACCCAGTTGCGACCAGCTCAGAGATGGAGTTAGGCTTGGGATCGTCTTTTCCCCACATCACTGAGAAACACAAAGTAGTGTTCTTACATGTTTGACTTGGTTCTGTCAATATGGTGCCTTCACTATGGCCTGTTTGGTGAGCCAGAAACAGTCGCCAGAGCCACTGGAGGGTGGAGTGGAGGGGCTGCTGGGTCAGCAGATAAACTCTGGTCAGGACAGCCCCCCCGTTCCTGAGAGCCACGGCCAGCTGCAGGGAGAGGGGACAGTGACCCGTATAAAGGTCATAGGTGTCTGTGCTAGAACCGAGATGGGGTTAGGTAATAGTGTGTGTGTGTGTGGGGGGTCTTCTACAATGCGGTTGTGTGCTGTGAACTCCCTCAAAGAGGTGTTATAGAAAGAGGAACATCAAGGATGGTGCGGCGGGGGGAGTGAGTCAAGGACCCTCGACAGGTCCAAGCGGTAGGCAGCCACAGAGGAATGGTATGCTTAGGGTGTGAACGGTACTTTTAGAGCAAAGGAACGGTATCAATGAAATCAGCGTGGTTTAAGGAGAGACACAGCCATACCTAAGAGAATCGAGGGAAGAAGCCAAGACGTAGGGCCCAGATGAAACACGAGAGAAGGAAGAGCAACCATGTCCCGTGCATCTGATGGACAAAGCAGGTCTGACACCCACTTCCTGGGGCAGGACTAGCCCGGGAGCTGCCCCCTCGCAGGGCCCCTCCACCTGCCCCTCTTGCCGTAGCAGCACCACAGCCCCGAGTCAAAGCTGCTCAGAACCTTTGCCGTTATCCAATGCAGACTTCCTGGAGGACAGAAACCTTTCCCTAAAAAGAGATCATCCCCGACAGTGCTGGACTCCTGCTCCAGGCAGCATCCTCTCCCACCCCAACACCCAGCCCTCATGCCAGCCTTGGCCAGATGATCTCCAACCCACTGGAGTCTTGTCTGCAGAGAGGGATCCAGACTGAGCCAGAGAGAAAGTAGGAAATGAATGGGTAAGTGTTGGAAACAAACCAAATACCCACAATAGGAAGAGGCAACTAGTTACAAAAACAACAGCACATTCAGCAGAGAGAACATGGCGCAACCATGAGAAGTACACTTTTTCCAAGGAAAATATTTTCTTATGGTGTATTTCCAATGGCATGGGAAATAAAGATTACATGTGTGCACATATACGTGCAGTATATGAAACTGCATACAGAGTCTGATATCTCAGCTTATTAAAAAGGCGTGGTGGGGAGTGGGGCTGGGAGGTGACTGAACATGGGTTTGAAGTCAGATCTTGGTTCAAATCCAGACTCAGTGACTTTGCATGTGTGACCATGATGAGTAGGTTATCATCTTCTCTGTCCCTTAGTTTTGACAATGATCTCCATTTCACAATGTTGTGGTGAGAATTTTAGAAGGTGATACATGTACAGCCCTTCACACAGAGCCTGGAACGCGACAAACATCCAATAATCAGCAGCTATGATGGTGATCATTGTCATTGTCATTAAGGAAATTACCAGAATGTTAATTGCTAATATGTCTGGGTAGAGAGGTGTGAATGATTTTAATTTTCTTCTATGACTTATCTGCATTTTTCAGGTTTTCCTCAGTGAATGTATATTAATTTTTGATTTATAAAAAAAAGTAATATGGCCCGGCTGGTGTGGCTCAGTGGTTGAGCGTCGACCCATGCACCAAGAGGTCACCGGTTCGATTCCTGGTCAGGGCACATGCCCAGGTTGTGGACCCAATCCCCAGTGAGGGCATGCAGGAGGCGGCCAATCAGTCTTCTCTATTTCGATGTTTCTATCTCTCTCTCCCTCTCCCTTCCTCTCTCTAAAGTCAATAAAAAAAAATTTTTTTTTAAAAAGAAGGTAATATGGCCCTGGCCGGTTTCTCAGTGGTTAGAGCATTGACCTGAGGACCATGAATTGTGGGTTTGATTCTGGTCAAGGGCACGTACCTCGGTAGCGGTTCATCCCTGGCCCTGGTTGGGTTGTGCGGGAGGCAACCAGTCGATGTGTCTCTCTCACGTTGATGTTTCTCTCTCTCTCCCCTTCACACTCTATCTGAAGATAAATGGAAAAATATCCTTGGATGAGGATAAAAACAAAGAAGGTAATATGGCAACAGGAGAGGGGGGGAAGACGAGTCCAGTGGGCACAGAGGGCCCTGGCCTGGGAGCCACAGGGCTGGGCCAGGGCAGTTACCTGCAGCTTCCTTTGCAGAGCATCGGCCCTGCAGGCCGCCCCCAGAGCTGCCTGCAGGGCGTGCGAGACCACGTGGCGCATGCAGGCCTCGGGCGTCTGCTGTCCCTGGGCCGCCTGGATCTCCAGCAGCAGGGCACTGCACACGGAGGGAGGCACCAGCTCCGGGTCCACAAAGAGGAACACCCTGAGGGCAGAGGCGGAGGGTGTCGGTGAGAATGACCACTGGGGAAGAGCCACTGGAGGGGTACCCTCAGAATCTTGCATCCCCCAAGTTATTTAGCTCCTCCAAAAACAGGAGCCTCAGATTCAAAAGCCTGTGTGGGGGGTGACAATAAGGAGTGGGGGACTGTGGCAAGGAGAGAGGCAGCTGGTTCCTCTAGTCTCTCATATCTAAGTAAGTTCCAACCCAATCCCGCTTCTTCCTTCAGCATCATGGCCCGTTGACCCCATCGCCCTCTCCGAGGAGCCCCAAACCCTTCCTGCTGAAACTGGAGCTCTGAGTGCGCCCATCTTCTCTCCTCATCCCTATCACGCCGGGAAAACAACCTCCCCCAGCTGCGTCTTCCCAGCTCTCCAATGCTTATTCCTCCGGATCCCTTCACCTCCTGCACCCTCCATGAACACAGAGCCTCAAGCTCCGCCTTTCAGCAGAGGTACCTGCAGGGGAGGAAGCTATGCACCTCCAATGCTATCCATCCCCCTCCCCAGCAATTACAGCGGACACTTCCTCAGTCTTATCTAAAGGGCTAGACACACACAGACAACAGCCCGTAGAGTTCAGGGTGTGCCTGAGGCCTGAACCCCTCCACTGCAGACACCCTGGAGCCGCCTCGGGCTGCCTGCCTCCGGATGCTGCCTCATGGCCAAGGGAAGGGTGGAGGGGAACCGCCAAAACTCCAGGCTGGTCTTCCCCAACCTCGCACGTGAGCAGCATCCTCGGAACCCAGCCCAAGAAGGAAGACCTCTCCTCCTTCCAGTGATCCCCAGAGAAGGCCGTGTGCCTTGAAAACACACCCGTTGCTGGACAAACGTTATGGATGGGGAGCCCTGCTGGGGTTCCTCTCAATCCAGCCTCGTCTTTTGCCCTCCTGTCGCTGAGCAGTCACACAGACCCACACTGGAGGGACGGACGGCAGCACCCTGTTCGGAGCCTCTCACCTCTCCTGATAGGGATACAGCTCGCTCTTCAAGTTCTGCTCGGCGATGACCAGCCTTTGGTACAGCGTCCCTGCAAAGCAGACGGCTTCAGCGAGCCAGCCCCGCCTTCCACAGAAGGTGCTGGGGTTTTTGAGCTCCCCAGAATCCTGCAGCGCGGAGACCAGGCCGCCAGCAGCTCCTACCTGGGACAGCTGTCTCTGTTTTCAGCTTTATGGCGCAGTCCAGGGCGACCGTGCAGTAGGGGGCGGGCAGGGTCAGCAACCGCATGCAAAAGGCATAGGTCCTCTGGTAGAGCTCCTCCGTGATGCCTGTGGCCTGGGAGAGAGGGGGCAGTTGGTGTGCCTGGAGCCCAGGCTCAGGAGGGGTCCTGGGTGGGGTGGGAGAGGAGGAAGGTGAGGCCTGGAAACAGGACCTGGGCTCATACTTCTCTCTCAAATCTACACCTTCAGCCTCCTCTCCCAGTGTCTGTAGGACATCGGGGCTTTGACTTTAACTTCCCAAGAGGGAAATTCACCCCATCCTATTCCTCCAGTAAATCAGCTCCCTTCCCACCCCCTCCACTCTGTGGGGCCACGTACTCCCCCCATCTCCACTGAAAGTTGTTTTAGGCTCGTGCAGGACAAGAGGGCTAGGGCAGTGTCCAGCCCAGGCGCTTGTTGTGGGTCACCGCGACCCCGACCCTCCGCCCGGCTCACCTTGGTGAGCACGTACATTAGAGTGTGCAGCAAGGGAATGATGACGTGCCGGCCGTCCTCGCTCTCCGCCTGGAAGACATTGATTGGGCTGCAGGTTGGGGGGCTCACTACATTTTAGCAAGAGGCAGCTTGGGGGGGTAGGGGCTGGGCAGGAGATGTGGCGGTAAAGGGCCACGGTGGGCCCTGGTGGAGGAGGGGTCAGTGGGGAGAGAACAGGTGTGGCGGTCCAGGTGGGACGGTGTGGGGGAGGGGTTCGGGAACCCCATGGGGGAGGGGCGGCACTGACTTCAGGCAGGAGCTGGCAGCAGCTCCACCAGAATGTCCCCAACTTGGAGGCTCCCTTGAGTGAGGTGTTTCCCAAACAGGGGCGCACAGAGCACTGGGCGGTGTGGAGGTGAACTTTAAGGGGTCTAAGGGTAATTCTGAACATTTTCTTAGTGATGCATGTATGTCTACAGGTGCTTTCTGCTTCCGTCGAGTGATGTGGTTTTCCATTGATGCTCCTGTTATGGTTTCTTTTTGAGGTATGTTAACTCGTGTTAAACAGTGTGAGTCAAGGTCAAGAAAATATTGCTTCCAGAAAAGGGCGGGAGGGGGCACGTGGTAGAAATGCAGCCGGTTCGCAGAGGAGCACAGTCGCCTCTCTTCCTCTCATCCCCACTGCCCCGCCGAGGCTCTGAACCCACCTTTTCCAGTTCTCTGAGCAGAATGTGGACCAGCACCGGACTCTTCCTGGGGTCTCGCTCGACCTTCTTGTGCAGGGACCATCTCCACATGCCTGGGCCGGGAGAAAGGGGAGCCCCGCGCAGCCAGGCGGGTGGGCGGGGCTTAGGGGAGACCCTCTTGAGCAGGACCCGGGCGCCTCAGACCTGGCTTTGACCAGCCATGGTCGTGCCGTGGTGGGCTCCTCACATGGGGGGTTCTATCTGCTGCCCTTGGCGGACGGTGAATTCCCAGGGCAGAAGGAGGGAGACGGGACATTCGTGGGAGGGGTGTGTGGGTGCAGGTTATGAAGCAGCAATGTTTGCTGTTTCTGGAAGTCGTGTGGGCCTGGAGGGCCCAGGGGGGTTAATTTGCAAGGGGAGTTGGGGCAGGTGGTTAGAAAAGAAAGCTGCAGAGCCCCGAGGTGCTCTGCTGTAGCCCCTGGCGGGGTGAGCAAGGGGCAGAGCAGTCTTCCGGGCTCCAGGGATTTCCAGCAGGATAAGGGTTCTGCCGGAAGCCCCTCCCTGTGAGCTCCAGGCCCTCACCTTTGTAGAGAATGTGTGGAGAGAGCAGGCTGGGGTAGAGTGGGGGAGCCGGGGGCGGGGGGGGGGGGGGATGCTGGCTGGCTCTTACCTCGGTTGCTCTTCAGGGCCGGGGCCTGGGCGCGGAGCTCCCGGAGCACGGCCTGCACGCTCCGCTGGAGGTCCTGCTCCACATCTGGGGGGGTGGAGGCTTTGGCGCCAGAGCTTTGGGGCTCAGCCTCCTGGTCTTACCCTCGCCCACCTCCACTCCCCCTGAAAATGTCTTTAGCTCCTTCTGTGAGCCTCAAGAGGCGCCCGAAGCAATCAGCCAAGAACCGGCCGCCAGCGCCTGGCCAGGCGGGTGGGCGGGGCTTAGGGGAGCCCCCCCCCCTTGAGCAGGACCCCGGGCACCTCAGACCTGGCTTTGACCAGCCACGGTCTGACCCTCCGGCCGGGCGCCCGGCTCCAGGTGCCCGTGGTGGGCTGGAGCACAGCCTCCGAACAGCTTCTCTGTGTTTTCCCACAACCAACATGTCCTGAAGTGTGTACGGATGCCGCCAGTGGTACAGACATTTAAGATGCTACACCAGCCATCCTGATTTTTTCTCGTAATGCATTCACTTTAATGTGTATTAGAAAAATATATATAACTAGTTCCTCAACATAAGCATGAAGCTAAAATTAAAGTCAATTGTAAAGAAACATATCCGATACCAGGAAGTGACAAAGATGCTCTCTGACCTCTCCACTAGGCCCTGACCTTGGCCCCGGTCCTGTCTTCGGTCTGTCTAGCACAGTTTCAGCAAGAATCCTGCTGTCAGTTTATAGAGACTCCCCCACTTGATTTCTGATCAAGTTCTTCATCCCCGACCTTTGAAGCATATGTCTTTGAGCTGCCTCTAGCAAGAACCCCGCCAGGTCCGTTTAATAAGAACCCCACCCCTGATGCCTCTTAGTAATTTTCCACCCACTGGCCCTCACTCTGTTCATGGGCTGCACATCCCCAGCTAACTTTGCCTTACGCAGACTTGAGCTGATGTCTGTCCCCTATTGCAATAGTCTTGAACAAAGACTTCCCTAGTGATTTAACAAGCGTCAGAAGTTTTCTCTTTAACAGTGATAGGTTGTCATGGCAAAACTGTGAAGGTGGTACAAAAATAAATAACTGATGCTTGGAAAGCGGTAGCCTTGAGGAGCACTCCGCTGGTCTCCCCCAAGAAGTTGAATTGGCGGGTGTAGGGTGGGGGTGGGGGTGGGGCAGCGGGTGGGAGGAGCTTTGCGTCGCCACGCTGGGAGATTCACTGTTTTGAACCCAGGTCATGCTTCCCAGCCAGCACTGAAAGGTCAGGGGTCCTAAAGCAGGCTCGTCCTGGGAGATGCAGGCTTTCTCGTGACTTAGGCGCTGAGACATTTCCACCCAACTCTCCTTCCCTTTCTCCTCCCCTCACTGCCGGGCGTGCCCCACCGCCTGACAGTGGGCTCCTCCTTCACTAGCTCTCTCTCCATTTTCTGCCCCGCAGCCGGTTCCCCACGCAAATCCTTGCAGGTCTAATCCTGTCTTGGTTTCTGCTTCTTAGAGGATCCGACTAGCACAGGAAGGACGGGGGACACTCCCTGCACCGTGAATTCCCCTTTCTGATGAATGCCGACCAAGGGTTCGTCTTTACAGGCAAGCATGCTTCTCTGGTTGTCAGACAACACAAACCATGGGCCTCAGGAGTTCCCCTTTTGCCTTAGCTGTCAGGAAACCGGACGGGCCGGCCTCAGAAATCAGCTTATCTCCAGTGACGGAGACCTCTCTTCTCTGTTCCTCTTCGGTGTTCCTGCTTATGCCCTACTTAACACATATGAATGGCCTCAGATACCTGATGCCTTGGAAGCACATAGGACAGAGAACACACATTTTAAAAATCAACAGGTTGTCTGTCATCCAGGAATCAAAATGTGTTTAGGCCAAGGCAACTCATGCCCTGGTGCTCATAATTGGCTCCTCCCTGGCTCTGGCATGGGCTAGAGTAACTCTGTAACCCCAACTTCTTCCTGCCTCTTACTTGTCCCCCAGATCACGTCAAGGCCCCATCCTGAGTCTCTTTCAGGCTGAGAGTGGGCAGCTGTGACAGCCCATGTTTGCCACTGGGCCACTCTGCCGGGCCCTGTAGCATCTCCCCAAACTGGCAAGAAAATCTTTTAGCCTAGCGTGAGGCTGGTCACAAGCTGTTCTTTTCCTACACTTCTGCGCCTTGCAAGAAGATTTATTGCAGGGTGAGTTATGAACAAATTAATTGGTGTTGCCCTGGCCGGTTTGGCTCAGCAGTTAGAGTGTTGGTCTGCAGACAGAAGGGTCTTGGGTTCGATTCCCTGTCAAGGACATGTTCCTGGGTTGCAGGCTCAATCTCCAGCCCTGTTGGGGTCAAGCAGGAGGCAACCGATCCATGTGTCTCTTTCACATCGATGTTTCTCTCTCTCCTCCTCCTCCCTCCCTCACACTCTATCTAAAACACAATGGAGTCTGGCCCGGTGTGGCTCAGTGGTTGGGCGTCGACCCATGCACCAAGAGGTTGCCAGTTCGATTCCTGGTCAGGACACATGCCCAGGTTGTGGGCCCGATCCCCAGTGGGGGGCATGCAGGAGGCAGCCAATCGATGTTCTCTCTCATTGATGTTTCTTTCTCTCTCCCTCTTAATTCCTTTCTCTTTAGGGTCAATAAAGGAAAAAATAAAAATAAAAATCAATGGAAGAATATCCTTGGGTGAGGGTTAACAACAACAACAAATTGATTCGTGTTAAGTCTCCCATCCTTCCTTCCTCCTTCCTTCCTTCCTTTTTCCCTTCTTACCCCCCCCCCCCCTCCCGCCACTGCACACAAAGACCTACAACTGTGATCACTGCAGTTTCCTCTGGCCCCTCCACTAGAAGGGTAGAGAAGCCTTTGTCTTCTGAGCTTTAGTTTGCCAAGGGAGTTACATTTTTATGTTTCAGAGAAAAATAAAGAAGTTGCCAGTAGCCCCGGGAGACAGCCCCAAATAAACTTTGTTTTCAAAAGTCTGGGCAGCCGGAACAAACTCTTAGGCTTTGGTCCACATCTGGCTTGCAGACATGTTTTGTTTGGGCTTGTATAGTGTCTTAACAAAAGTGAATGAGCTGCCAACATTTACGAATCAGGAGACTTTGCATTACAGTTGGTGTTTTTTGGCACCTCTTGAAAGTGTGCGGACACTGGGCACGCATTCCTCAGATGCGACAGACAATCGGCGGGCTGGGCGCAGCTGCCCCCTTGAGATGAGGCTCGAGGTCTCTAGCTCTTCCTCCTTCCCACTCTCCTTGTTCCATGCATCTACGTCCTACCGAAAGCCCAGGAGACCCCTGGCCCTGTGATTGTGACAATCGAGTCAGATTGTCTTTCAGGTATGGGGAGGATGCCTGCAGCCTTCTGTTGAAGAGGAAAGTATTAACCCAAGAGTGTGAGGTTGGATTCCCCAAGGATTACGGGGCACAAAGGTTATGGGGACCCAGGGACTGAGGAAGACCAGGGCTAGCTGGGACATAGCTTACTGGTGGTTGCAAGCATCTCTGCTGAGGGCAGCAAAGCACTAAACTCTGTGCCCTTGAATGCCACTGCTATGGTCTCCTGGGCCACCTTTGCCAGAGCACAGAATGTCCCCAAAGGAACCCCCTCTCTCCCCATGGACCATGCAAGCCGACCAAGCTGTTCTGGGGCCTGCAGCCACAGTGGAATTAGGCCACAGCCTTTCCCCGCCACCCAGACTTTGTGAGCCTAGTCTCGTCACAGGATCTTAAGTTGCGGGGAGGAACCGCAAGTAAATGACTCTGGAATTCGTCCTGATCTTGGAAAATGAGAGCTTGGAGCTGGATTCAATTTGATGAAGTGAAAGAAAGAAACGAGATATTTCTTGTGCTTCAAGTGTCTCAGGGTTGTTCATCTATGATATATATGTCTGGCATTTTTGACTCAGAACTGCCAATAAATACATGACATTCATCATTACTTCTCCCCTCCATTCAGCCATGTGAGATACTACTACCAGGTATTTATATTATTATTCATACCTGATATTTAAATAACACTTGAAAGGCACACACCCAGAGTCCTACATGGGTGTGGCAAGACAAGGTTGTGGTTCATCAAACCAGTTTCATTTTTGCTGCAAGTAGATGGGAAGACTGCACTTCCCAGACTCCCCTGGAGTTAGATTGGACCCATGTGACTGAGTTCTGGCCAATAGAATGTGGCAAAAGTGATATATGCGACTTTCAGTCCTGGTCATAAAATCCTCTGCGCCATCCTCCGTGCGCGCTCTCCCCATTCCGTGGTGGCCTTCAGAGACGCCTGTTGACGACGACGGCACCGGGAGAGGGAAGAAGGCTCAGTGTCTGCAAGGCTGTTCGGAGCCCAGACGGGAGGGCAGTGTGAGGGAGAAACAGGCGTGTGTTGTGTTCATCCACCGACGTGGGGTCATTTGTTAAAGAACTCTCGCTCTCTGACTGACTCATGGTTTGCAAGGTCTTTTCTAATCTATTGTCTCACTAATTCCTGAGCAGAACCCTGTGATTTGGCCGGACAAACACTGTTCTCCCTGTTTTGTAGATTCCAGGTCGAGAGCCCTTGACCGCCTGCTGTCACAGGTCAGACTGTGGAGGCGCTCCTCCCCTTCACAGATGGGAAATGACACTCTGGGGGCAGAAGGGACTTGACGCAAAGCCACAGAGCATTCTCTCCATCAAATGCTCTTCCTCTAAAGCTGGATTCATGGTGACCACCCACCACGTATGGGAAAAGAGAGAAGGCGGTGGGCCTAGGGGAGACTATAAGCGCCTGTCTATCTATGGGTGCCTAGGGTTCGGATGCAGAAATAAATGCCCTAATAAAGTTGTCTGAAAAAAGGTACCCAGCTCTCAGATCAAGGTAGGTGTTAGAGCCAAAGAGACAACGGAGAGAAGGAGAAGAAAGGCGGACAGGATGCTGACCATGGTAGGAACCCCAGAGTTCAGGGTCTGGTCCCAGTTTCAGGCCCTTCAAAGCTGTCCTAGGACTTGGCAAGGCCAGCTCTCCGCTGCCCTGTGACCCCAGACAGTCACGTCGCTTTCCACACCCCTCTAGGGTTGTTCGCTCTCCCTGGTTCCCAGCCTTGGCTACACATTGGAATCACCTGGAAAGCTGTACAAGACGACCGAGGCACAGCTCACCCCGAACCAATTAGATCCCTTCTCTAAGGGTGGGGCCTAATACTCAGCTTTAAAAATAACTCCCCAGGAGAAGCTAAGTGGGAATTACTGTCTTAGGTGACAAGTTTGGAGTTTTGGATGACTGATCAGTTAGCCAGGGAAGGAATCAAGTGACAAGATACTCAGAGTTCACGGAGGATACTTATCCCCAAATTGAGAATGAAGGTCACAGGGTCAGGAAGGCCGCTCCCTGGCAATTCTCCTGGTTATCATGGTGGTGGTGGTGGGTTTATTTTTAAAAATGAAATAGAAAAAATAGAAGAACCCGGTTGGTGTGACTCACTGGTTGAGCATCGACCCATGCACCAAGAGACTGCTGGTTTGATTCCTGGTCAGGACACGTGCCCAGGTTGTGGGCCCGATCCCCAGTGGGGGGCATGCAGGAGGCGGTCAATCGATGTTTTCTCTCATCGATGTTTCTATCTCTCGCTCCCTCTCCCTTCTTCTCTCTCTAAAATCAATAAAGAAAAAGTATTTTAAAACTACAAATAAAATTGAAGAAAGGTCATTGATTGATTGATGTTGTTCATTAGCTTGTTTTGCGAAGGATATAACCTTTGTTCGGAAATGTAACCCTTGTAGACACTCTTGGGTCCAGCCATGACATTAACAAATTCTAAGATTTTCTTTTCAAGCAGACCAGTTTCTGTCTTTTTGAAGTTACCACATACCCACTTGTGATGGTTAATTTTTTGTGCATCAACTTGATTGGACCACAGGGTGCCTGAAATGTGGTCAGGCGTCATCATGGGAGTGTCTGTGAGGGTTTCAGATGCGTTTAACATCTTCATCCATAGGCTGAGCAAAGCAGAACGAATCCCTAACGTGGCCGGGCCTCATCCAATCCGCCGAAGGCCTGAGTAAAACAAAGGTCTGACCTTTCCCTGAGTGAGAGGACATCCTTTCTGCTTGACTGCATTCCAGCGGGGACGTCGATTTTTTTTTCCTGCAGTTGAACTTGGACTGAAACACCGGCTCTTCCTCAGTCTTGAGCCTGTTGCCTTTGGAATAACCTGCACCATCAGCCACCCTAGGTTACCAGCTTGCCAACTGCTGACCTGCGAGTTGGCAGCCTCCATAACCACGGAGCCAATTCCTTATGACAAATTGCCTACTACATATGTACAGACACCCTACTGGGTCTATTTCTCTGTAGAGCGCTGACTAACACACCCACAGAAGACCACACATCAGGATGGGAAAGCTGGTGGAAGAATGAACTTAATATTTCCCCGGCCTTCTCCAGCTAAGGAGTAGAGAGTGGGGGGCGGACATGTCCTCCTAGGTGAAAGGGTTACAGGGACCCTCAGATCACTTGGTACACTCAAAATTATTACCCAAAGAATTGAATTTGTAATTTCCAAGGGATGTTTCCCTCAGACTAGGGTGTTGAGGAGAAGGGTCCTTTCCTACTCTCTGGATATCAGCCGTCAGAACCAGCACCCCCTCCCTGAAATGGAAATGGAAAGGCATCAGCGAGCTCTTTCCGGCAGGCTCCCTTTAAAGTCACCGCAGCATCACCAACCCTGGGTCTCACCATCGAATGGTAGGTGAGCCGTAATACAATGGAGAAGACTATGTTTGTTTATGTACGTTCCCATTCAGACTGGAATTCCCAGGCCAGGTTAGTTCTGTGCAGGTGAAGGTCATTCAGTCCACGTTGTGTTTATTAGTTTTCATTTCAAAGAGTGACTTTTTCCTGACCTTGACCCCTGAGTTGGGGGCCATCCTCCTGAAATCCATGGGTCCCTACCCACTGACCACCAGGACCTCACTGACTGTCCTTCCAACCTAGGTGAGACTGTTGGAGAATCCCCTGGTGTGCAGACAGCTCCATCTCCGCTGCTCATTGAAACTATGGGCTCAGCACCCAGATGCACCGTTGGCAGGGGTCGCCTGTCTCATGCTCCTCTTCCATCCATGCCCGATCCCCTAACCCCCACGCAAAACACAGGCTCAGATTGTTCTGCAAATGTTTGCAATCTTGCCTGTGTTTGCAGGATGGCAAAGAAACATCCCTCAGAATAAGCATGTCACTTTTCAGGTGGCCCTCTTCTTAACTCTGGGATGAGAGGACCCTAAGCTAGAGGAAGGTGGGAAAGTTTATGACAATAGCAATTTGGGAAGACAGCCTGGTCGTAAAGGGAAAACCACCCTTCAGAGCTCCCAGGGCAAGCTTCATAACTTTGGGACATTTCTTTCACTCACTGGAATGGGGAGTCATTTGTCACATGTTTGAGGGTGGATCTCAGTGGTATCACCTGCCCAGCAGCCGTCCCTGCTTAGTGTGGCCTTGGTGAGACTGCGACCCAGGTGCCTTGCTTTGCCCTGGCCTCAGAGTGGGGCCAGGACCAGCCGGCCAGCAGACTCTGTCCCCTTCTGGGTGAACCCTGCGCAGAGGGCCAGGCGGAAGAACACCTGGAGCGCTCTCGCAGGTCACTGACCCCTCTTCCTGCCCTGGCGGCAAATCTGCCTGCTCCGTGCACCTCTGGTACCTGTGCTTCAGCTGTTCCTTCAACACTTGGCTACTCTTTAAAATCTTAAATTAGAACCTTTATTGGTACACCTCTCTTTCTAAAACACAGCACAGCATGTGTTTTTATTATAATTAGAGTGGGTACAAATTAAGCTGGCTTTGAAAGATTTAGACTTGCACAGGGCTGGCCCCACCCCTGTCCTCCTAGCCCAACCCCCTTCTGGTTTAAGATGACCCAGCACATCGCGGCGCGGGGCTCCCGGGCTTGCGGACTGCACTGGGCCTCTGCCCGGCCACGCTCCTGGCTGTGAGGGGGGTGTGGAAAGTGTGCGTGTCTTAGGAATGGTAACAACCTGGTAGCTGTGCCTGCTGGGGTGTCCCCTCCCCTTCCCTGGGACAGGGGTCTTCAAGGGCACTGGAGTCTATGCCTGGTGGCCTGAGGAGCGCTCAGACTTGCTGGGTGATGGTCGGTTGATACCCTCTTAGGGGAAGAGTCATCTCTCCTTGTTGTCTCAGGGAAAAGCATCTAGGTTTTGGAATCAGCCAGATCTGGGTTCCAGGCCTAACTCTGCCACTTACGAGTTTTGTGGCTTTGCGCCTCTGCTTCCCTCTCAGTAAAATAAGGAAAATCATACTGGTACTCCTGCCTCATAGCAGGGTGCTGGGGCCAGATCGCTGGGTTCAAAGCCTGACTTAACCACGTGACATCCATGTGACCTGGGAAACTACACCTGTCCACCCCGTGTCTCACTTTCCCCTTCTGTAAAATGAGAGGAAGAATATTTATTTTTCTAAAGACTAAACGAGTTAATATTTGTCATGCTTTGACTACTACTTGACGTAGTATAAGCTCTATAGAGGTTTTTGTTAAATGAATGCAAGTTTTGGGTAATGAATCTTGGCTACTCTTGTCCCCATTCCCAATGTCCTGTTCAGTGACGCAAACAGGCGAGGCTCATACAAGTGTGTGGATGTCCACCTCCCAAGGTGTTCTCACATCTGGGCAGCCGAGTTGGGGTCTCACAGCCTGGCTGGGTGCAGGTGCACCTGCCAGCCCCAGGGGCATTTCCCCCACGACGCAGCCAGGTGAACTGGACCCCTCCACGCCGCCACACTGACCTGAGCTCTCCATGGGAGCCTGGGCGATGAGAGGAGGATGTGGTTGTCTCGGACGGCAGAATGGAAAGTAAAGTGGTTTCTTTTCTTTTTTTTTTCTGCACAGAGGTGGTTCTGCAAAATAAGAGGCAGGGAGCGTAAGTGGTCGGAAGGTGCAGAAAGTACATTTGGGGATGGAGGGACGGTTAGATTTCTGCAAGAAACCATCTAGGGTGCTTACTGTGTGCCGGGCACTCCTCGGAGCCCTTCAAACTGTCACCTCCTTAATAGTAACATTAACCTGATGACATAGGCACTATTTTCTCCCCACCTACCAATGGGAAATGAAAGCACAGCGAGCTCAAATAACTTCAAGGTCAAAGAGTAAGTAAAGGAATGAGCACTTGAACTCAGACTACTCTAGAGCCCATGCTCTCCGTCATGACCCCAGGCTGCTCCTCTGTGACCCCAGCGGAGGGGCTCCCAGAGTCTGCTTCCCAGAGCCACAGACTTCCCAGCTGAAGAGCAGAGGAACTCTGAATGCATTCAAAAGTTTGTTCTTAGAAGAAAAAAAATTAAAATAAATAAACACTCCCCCCCCCCCCGGGAAAGCTAATCTACAGAAGCAGAACAAAGAGATGATATTAGGAATGACAAATATACACACACATATAGATATTTGTAGCAAAAAAAAGAAAATCTGAACACTCTATATCATACATAGTTGTATAGGAAATTAAAAATAACTCAAAAGTCTCTAGAAGAGTTAGAAACACTGCCCGTATTAGTAACCAGCGAGAGCGTAGAGCAAGGGGTCAAGGAGCCAGCACCTGGAAGGTGGTGTCTGCCTCGGGGAGTCCTCTGATAAATTCTCTCAAACCTGCAAAGTGAAGACATTTTCTATGTTACCTAAACTGTCCCAAAGCATAGAGAAAGAAGGAAAGACTCTCTGAAAAAAGCCAGCTTATCCTTGACACAAAAATCTCATAAAGGTGGTTTTAAAAATAGAGGAGGTGCTTTATACCCATCGGGATAGCTTTTTTTTTATTTAAAAAAATCAGTAGGAAATAACAAGTGTTGGTAAGGACGTGGAGAAATTAAAGCCCTGGTACACTGGTGGCTGGAAATTAAAATGTAGAAAATGGTCTGGCAGTTCCGCAAAAAGTTAAACATAGATTTACCGTATGACCTGTCACTTTCACTCCGAGGAAAATAACCCGTAAGAACTGGAAGTAGGGACTCCCACAGATCCCTGCACACCAGTGTTCACGGCAGCGCTAGTCCCAGTAGCCAAAAGATAGAAACACTGCAGATACCCATCAACAGGTGAATGAATTAACAAAATGCGGTGTATACATACAGTGGAAAATTATTCAGCCCGAAAAAGAGTGAAATCCTGATAACATGCTACAAGGTAAATTCACCTTGAAAACGTCACGCTCAGTGAAATAACTAGGACACAAATGACAACTATGGTATGATTGCACTGACATGAGGCTCCTAGAATACACAAATTCACAGAGACAGGAAGGATAATAGAGGTGACTAGGGGCTTGGGGGGGGGGAGAAATGGGGAGCTATTATTGAATGAATGGAGTTTCTGTTTGGGATGATGAAAAAGTTCCAGAAATGGATAGTGGTGATGATCGCACAACATCGTGAATGTTCTTAATGCCACTGAATTATACACTTCAAAATGGTTAAAATGGGCCCAGCCAGTGTGGCTCAGTGGTTGAGCATCAACCCATGCACCAAGATGTCGCCTGTTCGATTCCCAGTCAGGGCACATGCCCAGGTTGTGGGCCAGATCCCCAGTGCGGGGCATGCAGGAGGCAGCCAATCTGATGTTCTCTCTCACTGATGTTTCTATCTCTCTCTTCCTCTAAAAATCAATAAAGAGAAAAAAATTTTATTTTTAAAGAAAATACTCTGCCGAGTGTGTGCGGACCACTATCTGAAGATTCTGAAAAGCCAACGGGAGCGAGCAGGACAGGGAAGGAACCAGTACCCGAAGTAAGAACAATCCGGCAATGACTTTTCTGCTCTCCCCTCCCCATTACACTTGGCCTGGACACAAAGGTAGTCTGAAACTCAGAAGTGCACACCAACGGCCGACAGAAAGATCTAGAAGGAAAGCTTTCTCTTTCTGGCCTGAGAAGCAGGAAAGCGTCCCCTCAGGATCAGAGAAATAGGTGTGTGTGTGGGTGTGTGGGGGGGTGGCAATTGCGTTTTTCCTTTGCCTTTTCTCCTGCCATAGCTCCTAGTCCTGTAACGGCAGCAGTAGCAACAGTGACAGCCGTGGTGGCCGTGCAGGTGCCTAACATGACGAGGAGGGGACATCTCTTTGACTACAGGAGACAGGGGCACTGGAAGGACCCTTATTGCCTTCTCCCTCTATCAGAGGAACAAAACCCAGGGAAAAACCCAGAAAATAAATAATAACATGGTGCACCAAAATATCATTAATTAATTACATAAACACCAATGAAAAGACAGAGGTTGTCAACATAGATTAAAAAATAAAACCAAAACCAACTTTCTGCTGTTTACAATAAATTCACTTTAAAATGCCAGAGGTAAGTTAAAAGCAAAAGAGCAGAAAAAACGTGCCGGCCAAACACTAATCGAAAGAAACTAAAGTGGTTTCAGGTGAACATGAGACCAACTGGATTTCGGAGCAAGGACAATGACCAGGAATAAAAAAGGAAATTATATAATGATGGAAGGGTCAGTTCATGAGGAAGAGCTAATAATCCTCAACGGTATGCACTTAACAACAGGGATTCAAACCACATAAAGGATAAACAAATAAAACTCAAGGCAAATTTTCACAGTATTCTCTTCATAGCTGATAGAATAAGCAGCTACAAAATCAGCACGGATATAGAAAAACTGAACAATATCATCAACCAACTGGATTTAACGGGCACTTATAAAACACTACACATAAAATAGCAGAATACAAATTCTTTTTGAGTTTACCCAGATAGACCATACCCTGGGGGCATAAAACAAACCTTAATAAATTTAAAATAACAGAGATTATGCAAAGTAGGCTGGCTGATTATAATGAAATTAAACTTAGAATCAGTAACATAAAGACAACTAGAAAATCTTCAAATATTTGGATATTGAGAAACACATTTTTAAATAACCCATGGGCCTGGAAAATGAAAGAGAAGGAAACACTCAACTCATTTTAGGAGTCTAGCATTATCCTGATACCGAAACCAGACAAAGATAGTACAAGAAAAGACCAATATCCTAAAACATTAGCAAACCAAGTCCAGCAAAATAGAAAAAGAATAATGCATAACAACCTGAAGGAGTTTATCCCAGGGATGCAAGACAGGTGCAATATTCAAAAGTCAGTCTATGTAACCCACCATACTAGAGACTAAAAGAGAAAAAGCACGCGATCCTATCAATTGATGCAGTAAAAGTATTTGACAATTTTTTTTTCTATTATAAGGTAAGTTAGATTTTTTTTTTTTTTGGTGCGTGCCCCTAGCAGGAACCGAACCCAGGACTCTCTGGTCTGCAGGCCAACGCTCCAATCGCTGAACCAAACCAGCCAGGGGATATTTGACAATTTTTAACACTCATTCAAGATGAAAATTTACAGCAAATTAGGAACATAAGGGAACTTCTTTAACCTGGTAAAGGGCATCTACCGAAGAAACAACTCCCGCTAACACATGTAATAGTGAAAGACTGGGCGTTTCCCCTCAAAGCTTAGGAAGGGGCCAGGCCCCTCACTCCACCCCTCCTATTCAGCAATTCAACACAGCATCGGAAGCCTTGGCAGGGCCAAAGAATAAAAGTCAACGTACAGCATTAGTAATGTTTACATATGCTCAAAATGAACGGTTGAAAATCAAAATTTTAAACACACCACCACTTGCCCTGGCCGGTTTGGCTCAGCGGCTGGAGTGCCAGCCTGCGGTCCGGAGAGACCCGGGTTCAGTTCCGGCTAAGGGCGCGTACCTGGGTTGCAGTTTGTCCCCGGTCCTGGCTGGTCGTGTGGGTGGCAGCCACTCGATGTGTCCCTTTCACTTCTATGTTTCTCTCTCTCTCTCTTCCTCTTTCTCCCTCCCACTCTATCTGAACAAAAAAATGTCCTCGGGTGAGGATAAATAAATAAATAAATAAAACACACCACCACTTAAAATAGCTCCAAAAGCAAAGAAATACTTAGGTATGAATCTAAGAATTGACATCTTAGCTATATCGAATCTTCCAAATCATGAACGCAGCGTGTGTCTCCATTTAATTAACTCCTCTTTGATTTCTCTGATCAGCATTTTAGAAATCAAGAAATTTATTGATAGAGTTAATGCAATTTGAAGAAAAATACCAGCTGTATTTTTTTTTATGTAGACACAGATAAGCAGATGCTAAAATCTGTAAGAAACTGAAACAGCCAAACAATTTTGAAAAAAAAATTTTTTTTGAGGATTCACCTTCCTCTTTTAAGAATTACTATAAAGTTTTTAGCGAAAAACTAGACACAGATCAATGGAACCGAATGGAATGTCCCAAAATGGACACGTTTAGATATGGCCAATTGATTTTTGACAAAGTTGCAAAGACAATAAATACAATGGAGAAAAGATGGCCTTTTCAACAAATGGTATTGGAACAACTGACCAACAATATACAAAAAGAAAAAGACAAAAGGTCTCAACATAAATCCCACACCTGAAACCAAAATGAACTCCGAATGTATCATAGATCTGAATAGAAAATGTAAAACCACAAACTTAAAGAAGAAACCATAGGAAGTCTTTGTAACCTTGGGTTAGAGAAAGAGTTCTTAGATTATAATACCAAAAATATGTTTTATAAAAGAAAAATTGAGAGGGGTGGGGAGAGGCACTTATGAAATTAAATGACTGATGAAAAAAACGAAAGATAAATTGGACTTCACCAAAGTTAAAATTTTGGTTATGTGAAAGATACCTTTAAGAAAATGAAAACAAAGTACAGATTTGGAAAAAAATATTTTCAAATTACATATCTGACAACTCATATCCAGAATATATATTTTTTTAAAACTTGATAGTAAGAAAGCAAATAATACTCCCAAAGCAAAATATTCAAACAGATAGTTCATTCAAAAGGATACATGGATG